GAACTATAACATATCCTTGCACCAGAAAGAATGAACCTGGCTGCTTTGCAAAAGATTTCTATAAAAACTACCCTTTTACACTAAGAGGTTCGACATACATCTGTTTTAAACCTGTTATTTGGTTCCTCTTGCTTTTACTCTTTCTGCAAGTCCATTTGATTGCTGGGTTGTTGAAACTGCTGGTAGCAGCTGCTTACTGACAGCTCTCTTTGTCTTAGGCACTGTGCCTTAGAGTAATTGTAGTGCTTGGAAAACACAAAGACCACTTGAGCAGACCAGTTTGGGGGATTGGCAACGCTATCAGGGAGCAGGGTCTTTATGTTAGTCTCTCTAAGAAAATCCGTATGGGGCCATTGCCTGAGAATTTCTTTAGACTTTATGCATCTTTTGATCAGAAGCCACCTCTTCAGTGTGGTAGCTGTTACGAGTTGGCTGACTCGCTGGAGGCGTAGAAGGAAGAGCAAGCAGTATGGCGAAAAGAAGACCTGACTTTTGGTTCAGTGTGTGTTGCTCAGGAGCTCTGAGATCTTGGGCAGGCTGTTCCATGTATCCCAGCCATACTTCCCCATGTGCAGGTTAGGTTTTATGTATGCCGTGCTTGTGAGGATTGAGCCAAGTGACATTTGTGAAGAATGCCTTTGTAAACTGTAACTGCCTTGTGAATAAAGATTACTATCTCTGATAAACAGTACCAGTTCTCAGCCACCAGTAGCCTGACTCTCCCATCCTGTGTTTGGAAGAAGCACAAATCTGTGAGGAGGGATTGCTGATATTTCAGCATGAGTTGTATTCATGAGGCTCACATACCTTCTCCCTGCTTTTTGATCCTGTCTGTCTCTCTCCATGTTTCAGTGGGATGACCTGTTCTGTCACACAGCAACCATGCTCTCGGTACAAAATGTGATTGTGACCGTGCTTGTGTTGGGAGATCATCAACAAACATGCCAAGCTGCTGGCCGGAAATGTTCTTCCCTTCCTATTTGCTCTTGTACCTCCCCAGTACCTTAAGAAAGGATTCTTGGGGTTTGGTTATGAGCCAGCTGGACCATGTGGTAGAGTCATGATTCTCTGACCCAAGTCCTTTTCACAGGTTGGCAGTCACAAAATGAAGTTATCAAGTCTCCAGGAGCAGCAGCTGGAAAGGGAAATGGAAATGTGGATATTGAGTTCAGCTGCCCTCAGACCCAGAGTGTGCTCCTCTCTAGTGTCCCTGAGGTGGAGGATAAGGACTTGACTGGCTTTACTCTCCAGGAATGCAGTTACCTCTAGCTTTCTGCAGCTTTACATTAAGACCCCTGGGGATATACTTAGGATTAACTATATGTAACTTTGTCAAGTGAGGGCTTTGGGCCTGGGAGATAAATTTTAGCAGGTTTTGATCTAATTTATGCCTATCTAACACTTTTTTTTTTTTTTTTGAAGATTTCATTTATTTATTTGACAGAGATCACAAGTAGGCAGAAAGGCAAGCAGGGGTGGGGGAAGCAGGCTCCCCACCGAGCAGAGAGCCCGATGCGGGGCTCGATCCCAGGACCCTGGGATCATGACCTGAGCCGAAGGCAGAGGCTTTAACCCACTGAGCCACCCAGGCTCCCCTCTATCTAACACTATTGAGAAAGAAGGTGTCTCTGGTTTTATTTTCAAATATCTGATGGCTCTTTAGGAGCTAGACCTGGTTAATCAGACTCATGGTCTTCGTGGTACCTTTGCTTTAGTAGCTTAATAATCCAGTAATTCAAATGATGAATAAAAATCCTGATGTGTGAAGTTGGTAGATAATAGACAATTAAAAGTGGACAACTAAAAATGATGAAATCATTCATTAATGACTTATTAATTTATTATTAATATTTATCCAGCTCATTTATTAATCCACCTCTCCACAGTTTGCTTCCCTAGGAGACACTGGCAGATCTTTACCCTATGAAATCTGAAGAAAGGGCCTGGCCAGGATAGGGAGGATCACAGTGTATGTCACCCGTGCTGGGTATATGTGAGCAACTTATGTGTTATAGCAGCTGGGGAAGCAAATCATAGATAAGCCTGATTGCTGTCACTCAGGTGATTTCTCTGTCTGTTTACTCTTACTAAAACAATTGGCTGTTCTTTTTTTTTTTTTTAAGATTTTATTTATTTAGTTGACAGAGATGACAAGTAGGCAGAGACTCAGGCAGAGAGAGGAGGAAGTAGGCTCCGTGCGGAGCAGAGAGCCCGATGCGGGGCTCGATCCCAGGACCCTGGGATCATGACCTGAGCCGAAAGCAGAGGCTTTAACCCACTGAGCCACCCAGGCGCCCCCAATTGGCTGTTCTTAATGGTAATGTTAAAAGCGTTTCATATTCTTTAGCAGTGGTTTCCTGGCAGCCTTATGTCTAGCCCTGTGCGGATTGAAAAGAAAAGAAAGCCGTCCTAGCGGTAGGGGACTCTGAGGGATTGGAAATCATTGCCTTTGCGAGGGGAAGGCAATCTTCTCAAAGTTGATATGTTAATGAGTGCTCCTGGCAGGAGTTTCCTGCCCTGGACGGAAGTCATCCATGTTTCCTGGAGCGGCATATTCGTTACCCTAGAAGTATAAAGACTCCTTGCCTTAGGAATTCCTGAGTATACTGACACCTCCAAGTGGTGAAATAAAAATTTGCGAATGATTGTGTTATAGTAGTGCCTCGTGCCAGTGGCACTGTTCACTCTTCAAACGGCAGCCCACACATTTTGTGGCCAGGGTATATAGATGCGCACTATGACAGCACTACCTCCCTCCAGAGCCACTGTGTGCTGAGCACTCCAGTCTTCCAGGGATCGTTGGATCCATTCAGTCTTTTGTTCCTTCCACAAGCACTTATTAAGTTCCTTTTCTGTACCAAGTGTTGTACTTGTTACTGACAATAAAAGGTCAGAAAGATTTAGCCTGGACACTAAGATCTGGCCCAGCATTTGACAACTAAGTGCTAGCATAAAGACACAGGTTCTGACCTGCAGTGACCAATTCCTGTGAAAGCTTAGTCTTTTAGTAGATTGAAATGGTTGTGAAATATTACCTGACAGGCAAGTGAGGCGAAATGAGTGGCTTTTGATCTGTCTAGTCTCACCTGCTGATTGATGCTAGTCCTTTTTTTTTTTTTAGCACTTAGGAGTCAAAATACATTTATTGAGCCCTCACTATATTTCATGCTAAGCTCTTTACATGTATTAACTTAATCTTCATAACCACCTTATGAAACAGGTACTGTTATCCCTACTTTACAAATGAGGAAATTGAAGCACATAGAAGTTAATAAGGTCCTTCCTTGTTGGAGGTCATGAGGTGGAGGCAAGATTCAAACTTAGGGAACCTGACCTAGAGTCCATGTTCTTAAATGATGTGATATACTGCCTCTAGGTAGAAGGGTATCATCCTTACCAATGTCCTGTATGGGAGAGCTTGGCAGAGTGATAGTCCCCTGACCTCCCTGCCTGCAGAGTTCTTCTCTTTCCTGGAGGGGTTTCCAAGAGCAGATTGCTTGTCCTTCATACAGAGTGGGAGGTGATGAATGCCGTAGTAGGTTCCTTATCTACAGCCCACATGTGACTCTGGCTCTGCCTTTCGCCATCTGGGTGACCTTGGCTCCAAGCATGTTTCCTCATCTGTGAAGTGGAGATGATGATACTATTTTATGGGATCATCAAGGGATTAAGTAAGATCACATACTTAACCATTTCTGGCTCTGAGTAAGCGCTTCATAAATGATAGCAGATTTTTATTATCATCATCTTCTAGCCTGAGAACAAGCCACGAAACAATTTCTCAGAGACCAGAATCTAGGACCTAGGTAGGTGGGCAGATTTCCTTTGGTTTTGACAAGACAATAATTTTATTCTATGTATTTTTCTTGACTCTTTTGGTGTGAAAAGCAGAGAGGTAAAGCATTATTTGACAGATGTATGGATTCAAGCAAGAAACTGAGGTCCAATTGCAAAGAAATGCCTTGTAGAACTCAGAGCCCTGTCTGAGGAGACACAGAGGACCCTAGAGGGCGGAGAATGAACACAGCGCAGGGGCTAGTTCCAGAGTCGCATCCTCGGTTAGTTCACTTACCAGTGTGGGTGAGGGTCTCTTGTCAGTAGGCAGAGATTTTTTTTTCCTCTGCTCTAACACAGATCTGCTGGCTAGTGTTTAATAACCTTACTTTTTCTTGATGTGAAATAGAATTTGTGACTTTTCCAAAATGCAGAGGCAAAGGAGCTCTGTAACCGCAAGTTTATTGAGCCTTTTTCCCCCACCTGTTCCTGTGCCAGACTTCCCCAAAGTGCTTATTTGCCAATGGTTGCTCCTCAGATCTCATGGCTAGCTCACTCTGCAGGCTCCACGCCAGAGTGATGCTGCTGCCGCCGCCGCCAACACCTCCGCTGCCACCATTGGCCACTCAGGTTCCTGCCATAAGGATGGGACCTGCTGTGAAGCTTCACCTTCCTCCTTTCTGCCTGTCATCGGGGTTGTACCTCTTTTTCCTGGGGCTTTTGCCGTGCAGCCAGTGTTCTAAAGAAAGTTTTCAGGCACCACAGTTAAGAGCCCTACCTACCTCTCCAAGGAGATTTGAGTTAGCCATGGACAAGAAGATGATTGAGAGGGCTCCTGTGCCTCTGTGCTGCGGAAGGAAGAGTTTGCCTCTGATAGTGTGCTAGCTCCGAGTCAGGTGGGGGGCTTGCTGGGACTCGTGAAAGTGCGCTGCGTGACTTCTGGAGAAGTAGACTCGGCCTAACCTGCCCAAGGACAGCGCCCTGACCCACAAGAGCCGAGGCTGAAGACTGATCTCACCTTCTCCCACGCCCTTTCCCTAAGCTTGAGCTTGCTCTGCCACACTGCCCCAAGTCTGTGGCTTCAAACAGCCATTTCCTTTTGTCGATAAATAGGTTCATTCTTTGTAAAATGTTTCAGCTTGGGGACTGGAAAGGCTCTCTGTGCCTTCCTGTCTCTCTTTTTCTCTGAGGGTTGATGTTGATGGCTTCTGTCTTTGTCTTCACAGGGGACTCTAATGATCCATGACAAAGAGGTCACCCTTGAGTATATACCAGGCCCAGATTTTTCGTACTGCAAACGGGTAAGTGCCAAGAATTCTGTTCCTTAGAGGTAAGGATCCAGCCTCACAGCTCCTCTGTGTCTCCAGGAGTACCCCCTGGTCGTATGCATTGCCAAGGGCAAAGCTCTTCTACCTTAGTTCACTTCAGATGAACCGAGGGTCAGGGCAAGGCCAGCCACCATTCATGCTTCCCAGCTGCTGCCTGTGGCCATAGAGGGTTCTGGGCCTGTTGGAGGCATTTTCTCAAGGGACACACACCATGCTTTTTAATTGATTATGAATTGCATTGACTTACAGCCTCTCCCTGGTGATGCTTCCTGAGGGTGGTTATAGGGGATTAGTACTGGGAGAGGTTGGATCTATGAGAGGTGCACACTTTTTGGATATTAAAGGTTTCCAAGGATATAGAACTTCATGGCATTTTACCTCTCTTAAAGTCTAATAGTCTTCTAGAATGGCATATTTAAAGATTTTAGGCTATATTCTTCAGATTTGATTAATCTGAGAGAGAGAGAGCATGAGGTGGCGGGGGTTGCTGAGGGAGAAGCAGACTCACCACAGACCAGGGAGCACAATACAGGGCTCAGTACCAGGACCCTGGGATCATGACCCAAGCTAAAGGCAGATGCTTAACTGACTGAGCCACCCAGGTGCCCCTAGGCTATACTCTTACTGGAAGTCCAGCTGGCTTGCAAATGAGCATGAAAATAAAATTTGTCATTTTTCATTGCTGCTACTTAGTTTCAGAAATAATTATGAAGAATTTATAAAATTTCTGAACCATAATTCATTAAAAATTCATTATAGAACTTGATAAAACTCAGTAAAAACTTTAGCTTGACATTTTATTAGTCTCAGTGAAATATCATTTATATAGCTGTGGTTGTCATTAGCCAAAGCACTCATATATCATGGTGTCATTTTAGGAAAACGTTTAACTTTTTAAGGCGCCTGGGTGGCTCAGATGGTTAAGCATCTGCCCTTGGCTCAGGTCATGATCCTGAGGTCCTGGGATCGAGCCTCACATCAGGCTCCCTGCTCGGTGGGGAGCCTGCTTCTTCCTCTCTCTCTCTGTGTCTCTCATGAATAAATAAAATCCTTTAAAAATTTTTTAAAAAATTGTTTTAATTGTGTTAAAATACACATAACATTAAATTTATCATTTTAACAATTTTAAAACACATAATTCACTGGCATTAAGTACATTCTCAGTGTGGTACAACCACCATCGTGTCTAGTTCTAGAACTTTTCATCACTTCAAAAGGAAACCCTGTATCTATTGAATAGTCACTCCTTAGTCTCCTTTCCCTCATTTCCTAATAAACCACTAAGCTTTCTATCTCCATGGATTTGCCTGTTTTAGACATTTCATGTAAGTGGAGTCATAGAACATTTGACCTTTTGTGTCTGCCTTTGTTCAGCAAGCATGTAGTCAGGGTTTGTCCATGTTGTCGTGTGTATCAGTATGTCACTCATTTTTATGGGTGAATAATAATATATGGCTATACCACATTTTGTTTATCCATTCGTCATTTTATGGACATTTGAGTTGTTTCCACCTCTTGTCTGTTATGAATAAGACTGCTGTGACCATTCATGTACAAGTTTTTGCCTGAACACACATTGTCAAATCATATGGTACTTTTATGTTTTAACTCTTTGAGGAATCACCAGGCTATTTTCCAGAGACAGCAGCTCTACCATTTTACATTCCCACCAACAACATATGAGAGTTCAAATTTATGCATGCCCTTGCCAACATTTGTAATTTTAACCCTTTTTTAAAATTTTTTTATTTTTAAGTAATCTTTACATCCATTGTGGGGCTCAAATTCACGGCCCCAACATCAGGGGTGACACACTTTACCAACTGAGCCAACCAGGCACTCCAGCCCTTTTTTTGGTAATAGCTATCCTAAGTGGGTATAAAATAGTATCTCATGATTTTAATTTGCATTTCCATAGTAACTAATGATGTTGAGCATCTTTTTTTGTATTTGTTTTCACTTTTGTATCTTCTTTGGAGAAATGTTCATTCAAGTACTTTGCCCATTTTTTTTTTTTTAAAGATTTTATTTATTTATTTGACAGACGGAGATCACAAGTAGGCAGAGAGGCAGGCAGAGAGAGAGGAGGAAGCAGTCTCCCTGCTGAGCAGAGAGCCCGATGCGGGGCTCGATCCCAGGACCCTGGGATCATGACCCAAGCCAAAGGCAGAGGCTTTAACCCACTGATCCACCCAGGTGCCCCTACTTTGCCCATTTTTAATTGGGTCATTTGTCTTTTTGTCGTTAAGTTATAAGAGTTCTTTATACTGGATTCTGGATATAAATCCCTAATCAGATATGTGATTTGCATTTATTTTTTCCCATTCTGTATGTTGTCTTTTACCTTCTTACCATGTTTTTTGCACAAAAATTAATTTTGATAAAGTCCGATTCAGCTGTTGTTTTCTTTTGTTGCTTATACCTTTGGTGTCAGAAAACAATTGCCAAATCCACGGTGATGAAGATTTACCCCTGTCTTTTCTTCTAAGAATTTTATAGTTTGGGCTTTTATATTTAAAGCTTTTATCTGTTCTGAGTTAATTTTTGTTCATGCTATGAGGTAAAGGGCAGCTTCATTCTTCAGCATGTGTGTATCCTCTTATCCCAGAATCATTTGCTGAATTAACTATTCTTTTCCCATTGAATGGTCTTGCACCCTTGTTGGAAAGCAGTTGACCAGAGATCTGTAGGTTTTTTTCTGTAGACACTCAGTTTTATTCTGTTGTTGTATATTTTTATCCTTACATTAGTACCATGCTGTTTTGATTATTGTAGCTCTGTCATAAGTTTTGAAATTGGAAAGTATGTCTTTCAACTTTGTTCTTTTTTAAAGTTCTTTTAGCTATTGAGTGTCTTTTACAATTCCATATAAATTTGAGGGTCAGCTTTTCCATTTCTACAAAAAGACCATTAGGATTTTTATAACATTTAATATTTTAATAGTGATTGCCTCTACAGTTTGAGATTATGGGTGATTTCCCCCCTCTTAAGAACTTTCTGTATGAGCTATAATGCACATGTATTGTTTCTTTTATAATCAGGGATGGAGGGAGCCAGAATTAAAGAGACAATTTTGAACTCTTTTTTTTTTTTTTTTAAAGATTTTATTTATTTGTCAGAGAGAGAGAGGGAGAGAGAGCGAGTGCAGGCAGACAGAATGGCAGGCAGAGGCAGAGGGAGAAGCAGGCTCCCTGCTGAGCAAGGAGCCCGATGCGGGACTCGATCCCAGGATGCTGGGATCATGACCTGAGCCGAAGGCAGCTGCTTAACCAACTGAGCCACCCAGGCGTCCCTGAACTCATTTTTTTTTTTAAGGTTAATTTACTTATTTTCAAGAGAGAGTGAGCATATGAGCAGGGAAAGGGGCAGAGAGAGGGGGGCACCTCAAAGATCATGATCTGAGCTGAAACCAAGAGTTGAATGCTCAACCAGCTGAGCCACCCCTGCACCCCAAACTCTGCTTTCTCTTAACTGGCAGAGAGCGAATTTTGATATCTGATGTAAAAATTACATAGCTATTGCCAAAACTGTTGCTTGAAAGAACAGAATGGCTTAGTTACATTGTCCCCTAAGATGACAAGCCACTTGCTTAGCTGTCTCGGGGGTACTTGTAATTTCTGCACTTGTTTGGAAGGAGTGCACCAGCCCTGCATATGTGACCTTTGACCTGATGTGGAAGCTGCCAAAAAAAAATATTTATGGCAGTATTATTTGTAATGTCCTAGAAGTGGAAACAACAAAAAAATCCATCAACTGATGAATGGATAGACCAACAACATGCAGTACAGCACTCCAGTGGATGTTATTTGGCAGTTAAAAGGAATGAATGGGGCTCCTGGGTGGCGCAGTCAGTTGGGCCTCCGACTCTTGTTTTGGCTCAGGTACATGATCTCAGTCTTGTGAGATCAAGCCCTGCATCAGGCTCCTTGCTAAGGGCAGAATTTGCTTAAGATTCTCTCTCCCTCTGGCCCTCCTGCTTGTGTGCACACGCACGTACCCTCTCTCTTTCCTCTCTCTCTCAAATAAATAAATCTTTAAAATAAATAAAAAGGATTGAAGTGCTGCAACATGCAAAAACATGGATAAACTTTGAAAATACTATGCCAGACACAAAGCACCTTATATTGCACTGTTCCATGGGACTGGTGGTGAGAGTGTGAAATGACTCCACGAGGTTCATTTTTGGGTCAATGAAAGTATTCTAGGGGTGCCTGGGTGGCTCAGTCGGTTAAGCCTCTGCCTTCAGCTCAGGTCATGATCCCAGGGTCATGGGATCAAGCCCCGCATTAGGCTGTCTGCTCAGCGGGGAGCCTGCTTCCACCTCTCTCTCTGCCTGACTGCCTATTTGTGTGCTCTCTGTCAAATAAACTTTTTAAAAAAAAAAAGAAAATATTCTAAAGTTAGATTGTGGTGATGGTTGCACTCTGTGTATACTGGAAATCATTGGGGGTGCTTGGGTGGCTTAGTTGGTTAAGTATCTGACTCTTGGTTTCAGGTCAGGTCATGATCTCGGGGGTCATGAGATAGAGCCCTACATCGGGCTCCACTTTCAGCGTAGGAGTCTGCTTGAGTTTCTCTGTTTTCCTCTAATCCTCCGCCCCTTCCCCCCTCAAATAAATAAATAAATCTTTAAAAAAAAAAGAAAGTAGATTAAGCCCCTGGCTTCGGCTCAGGTCATGATCTCAGGGTCCTGGGATCGAGGCCCGCATTGGGCTCTCTGCTCAGCGGGGAGCCTGCTTCCCCCTCTCTCTTTCTGCCTCCTGCCTACTTGTGATCTCTCTCTCTCTCTCTCTCTCTCTCTCTCTCTCTGTCAAATAAATAAGTAAATAAATCTTTAAAAAAAAAAAAGAAACAGGTGAACATTATGGTACTTAAACCAAGGTTAGGATCTTGACTTCACCATTTACACCTCTTCTGTAGTAACAAGCAGCTTCTAAATCCCAGAGACTTAAGTCCATTTAAATGGACAGACATATACTTCATGGGTCATTGCTTCTGTTTTGCTCCATGACCTCTCATTCTGGGACCCACCTGGAAGGAGCAATCCCAATGTGGCACTGCTATCCCCCTGCCTAAGGGAGAGAGCTCATGCTCCCAGCCAGTGGCTCTTAGAGCTTCTGCCAGGCCATGTTCACTCACACTCTGTTGGCCAAAGTGAGACACGGCCAGAGTTGCCCATGGAGAGGGAAGTGCACTCATCCTGCAGGGAGGCACCGCAGTTGCTGTACAGTGGGCAGGGCTGTGCCTATGATTCTGCCGCTTACCGAGATGGGACCAAGGAGATAGTTGATTATAATGACCTTACTCGAGTACTCTCTCCAGTCCTCAGTTTCATCTTCTACAAAATGAGGATATAATAATTGTCTGAATCACTTCAGGTGACGGTTTGTGGAACAGGCCTGGTACCTGGTGTATGCTCTTTACTCATTAGCTTCTGAACTGCGGTGGTTATTGTTCTCCTCCATCTCCATCTTGCATGCCCTCCTTACTCCCCCTACAAGGTCCTACTCCAGTAGCAGCCTTTTCTTCACAGTTCCTGTTCCTTGGTTTCCTGCCAGCCAGCACTCTGTCCTCATACTACTTGGAAGCTCACTGGCAAATGTTTAGCATCTTTGGAATTGGGCAGTTTTACCTTTTTATTCATAGGTTCAGACAAGAAAAACTACATTCACATTGCAAAGTGCCTCTTCCCTTGTTTGGGTGAAGGAATGTTCCTTTTCCGTTTAACATCCTCAGAAGAGCTGCCAGAGGCACTACTTAGGTATCTTCCTCTTCTTTCCTTGCTCCTTATTTGTTTGTTTGTTTGTTTGAAAATTTTAGTTACTTAACAGAGAGAGAACACAAGCAGGGCGAGTGGCAGGGAGAGGGAGAAGCAGGCTTCCTGCTGAATGAGGAGCCTGATACGGAACTCGGTCCCAGGACTGTGGAATCATGACCTGAGCCAAAGGCAGATGCTTAACAGATTGAGCCACCCAGGTGCCCCTCCCTGCCCCTTTTTTAATCAGTGTTTGAGAAAGAGACGTTGGCAGTTGAATTACCAGCTCCAGCCCAGCCTGAATGGGGCTGAAGTTCAGGACCAAATGTTGGATGCAACTGTGAGGGGCAGTGGCTTTGGGGCAGTAGTATTGTATAAGCCATTTCACAGTCCAGTTTTCTTAGTTAAATTTATTTCCTGTAGAAATCCGTGTCCCCAGCAAAGGCATTTGGGACTGCTCCAGGATCCACGTGCCCTGTTAGAAGGTAGCTGTCGAACAGCAGCTCACCTCATTCTATCTGCCAGCTGTGATGAGTTGCGGGGGGAGACATCAGATTTGTTAGGCTTTATGGTGATCTGGGATATGGCTTATTTCTTTCATGTTTGGCAGGTGCTGATGTGTTGAATAAACACAAGATTTTTTTTAATGTTTTTGGTCAAATTGAAGTCTTTCCCTTTCCCATGCAGTGTAAGGCCAGCGTAGCTGGACACCGATCTTCATGTTCAGTCTGCAAGTGCCCAAAGGAAGGTGAGTGATGGTAGAGGTGGTGGTGGTAGTTTTGTGTATTGATCAAAACAAAGCTCATGCTCTCTTTGGCTTTTAAGAGTGGTCATCCCTAAATACAAGTTGATCTATAAAGCTCTTAGAAGTGCAATGCAATCTCTAACTTTGTGTTACCTGTTAGTGAATGATACTGGATCTCAGTTCCACCAGGGGAAGGAGATGGGTTGCCAGATACTCACATTGAGGGAACTAAATGGGCAGCTGACCAGAGGTCAGAAGTAGTGTTATTTAGAATACATTTAAGGATGTGAGGTTGAGAAAGAATCTCCATGGCATTCAGCCATGTGACCCTTATCCCCTACTGCTTTGTAGTTACTGAGAATCATCTGTTATCAGGATCATTTTCTTATTTACGCTCTATATAAATATTTCAGGATCTTCAACAGAAAAATACTTGTTAAAGTAACAGTAAAAAATGAACAAGAGAAAATAATCAGGATTATATGTTGTTTGTATTTTTTATTTTATTTATTTATTTTTAAGATTTTATTTATTTATTATGTCAGAGAGAGTACAAGCAGGGGGAACAGCAAGCAGAGGGTGAAGCGGGCTTCCCACTGAGCAAGAAGCCTGATGTGGGACTTGATCCTAGCACCCTGGGATCATGAGCTGAGCCGAAGGCAGATGCTCAACCAACTGAGCCACCCAGGCATCCTGGGTATATGTTGTTTTTATAAAGGAATAAACCTACCAGCTTCTCAGTCACTTAACTTTACAGAGAACCTTTAGATAGGCAACCTTGAAGAGTCTGTCAAAGGCATCCATAACAACAGTCCTATAGCAATGACTTTTTTTTTTAATTTTTGAAGATTACTAATTTATTTATTGACAGATAAAGCAAGTGCACAAGCCGGGGGAGCAGCAGAGAGAGAGGGAGAAGCAGGCTCCCTGCTCAGCAGGGAGCCCAAGCCCAGGACTCTGGGATCATGGCCTGAGCCAAGGCAGATGCCCAACCAACTGAGCCACCTAAGCCACCCAGGTGCCCCAGCAATGACTGTCATATGCCTGTTTTTGATATTACCCATTCAGGAGAGCTAGGGCATGACCATAAAATACAGTTCAGTGTGGGGCGCCTGGGTGGCTCAGTGGGTTAAAGCCTCTGCCTTCGGCTCAGGTCATGATCCAGGGTCTTGGGATCGAGCTCCACGTCAGGCTTTCTGCTCAGCAGGGAGCCTGCTTCCCATCCTCTCTCACTCTGCCTACTTGTGTTCTCTGTCAAATAAATAAAATCTTTAAAAAAAAAAATACAGTTCAGTGTAGGGATCCAGGTAGCCTTCTGAAGGACCTGTTTGTTCCAAGTTTAGAACTTAGTATGTCTACAAAGAGTTTCTTAGCTGGGGTTTTGGCCTGCAGTGGAGATTCTACTCTCTAGTGAGGACTGTGAAGCAGGTGTTCTGAAAATCTTTAAGGAAGGCTCTAGACACTGTAGAAGCCAACCCAACTTGTGAGAAGTTGAGTAAATAACAGAGATTTTTAGCTTGTATTACTTCAGATTAGGCAGAATTGTGTGTTTTTTCCCTGAAGAAGGACTTCTTTCTCTGTGTATTCTAACAAATGAATGGCTGGTTTATAAATACCCTTGGGTGCCCTGCCACTAAGTTAGGGCTGACACAGCTTTAACCTGGAAACATGTAAAGCAGGTGTTCACTAGTTGCCTATCACTGCTGTTAAGTTATCTCTACGTTGGTCCTATAGAATGTATTTTTTTGAACTGCCTGGCTTCCTGTGAACCCTTCAAGAATGAATTCATTGCAAAAATATGTTCCTAATTAATTGGACAAATTGTCCTGCTATAGAAAGAGATTTAGAATGAATCATTTATATTTTGAAGGACATTTGCTCATTATGATTCTTTGCAAATGAATGAGCTATACACAGGTAGGTCTATTAGCTTCCCCAGAGAAGAGGGCACCTGTGATCTTACAGAATTTGAGATGCCTGTTTTAGTACCATAACACTAGAAGAAGGAAGCTCCTAGTTGGGATATACGTTTCTACCAAACTTCTGGCAAGGGTCATATCTTTGGTAATTTTGTTCCCAAATCTGTTCTTATCATTGGTTTAAATAGGCCCAGCATCTCATGAAGGATTTCTTATATTTAAATGTTTAGGAAGTGATAGAAAACTCATAAGATGAAATTTAAATACTTGAGTGGCTTCTTTGAACTATTTCATGTGCTTTCTCATTGGCCTGGCTTAAAATCTATTAGAGGACTTTTTTGTACTTTTTTGTACTTCTGAGACTATTAAAAGCATTCCATGAGTATTTGGTAGCAGGTAAGGAGGAATCACAGCAGTAATGTTTTGGGGATGAAACCTGCTGGAGATTCTCTTTCTGTTTCTGTTCCTATAGTGACAGAAGCCAAGCAAGAATTAATAACCTATCCTCAGCCTCAGAAAACATCCATACCAGCACCATCAGAAAAACAACCCAGCCAGTCCCCAAGGTCAGCTGATAAGGAACCTGAACCCAAGAAGAGAGAAGAAGGACAAGAACCACGCTTGGGACATCAAAAGAGAGAAGGAGAAAGGTATCTGCCTCCTCGAAGGGAAGGGCTCACCTTCCGAAGAGACCGAGAGAAGGAACCATGGTCTGGGGAGACACGCCAGGATGGGGAGAGCAAAAGTAAGTGATTTGTTAGGGCACGAACCAGCCTGTGACCACCGCAGTTTGAGTATAGGTGGCCTGTTTTGTGGTTAGGTACCGGGTGTTTACCACACCCTAGTAAAACTGCTCAGCCTGATTGTGGAGGCTGTTGCTTTCTGCAGGCATTGCTGTAACCAGTCAGAGGAACTTGCATCCTCCAAATAGCAAATTGCTATTCAAATGCAGCAAGACATCATTTTAGTATTTTAGTATTGGCGAAGAAATATTTGAAGTGTATGACCCAGCATTGTTTTATAGAATCAGCCTTGCTAGAGCAGAGTAACATCTGCAGTAAAAAAGGACAATCAGGCTCTGAGGGCTTTGGAAATTAACCTTTCTCTCTTTCTTTGCTCCTCCCATTCGTATGTGGTTCGTTCAGCAATTATGCTAAAGCGCATCTATCGTTCCACTCCACCTGAGGTCATAGTGGAAGTGCTGGAACCCTACGTCCGCCTTACTACTGCCAATGTCCGTATCATCAAGAACAGAACCGGCCCCATGGGCCACACTTATGGCTTTATTGACCTCGACTCCCATGCGGTAAGTTTCCTCTGCCTTGGAATGGCCAAGGGACAGCTGGCTATAGAAACCTCAAGAAGGTTTGAAGGACTTCCTTATCATTGGAATTCTCATGTGCTACCTGGTATCAAAAACCCTCTTGTTCTTTCCTTTAGGTGTAATGGTCATTCAAAGGAGGGGACTGCCTTTGAAAGTTAGAACTCTGGGGCGCCTGGGTAGCTCACTGGGTTAAAGCCTCTGCCTTCAGCTCAGGTCATGATCCCAGGGTCCTGGGATCGAGCCCCACATCCAGCTCTCTGCTCAGCGGGGAGCCTGCTTCCTCCTCTCTCTGCCTGCCTCTCTGCCTACTTGTGATCTCTGTCAAGTAAATAAATAAAATCTTAAAAAAAAAAAAAGAAAGAAAGAAAGAAAGAACTCTGAGCATTTTTCTAGATTTGGTTTTGTCTTTTGGTATTTACAATGTCCAATTAAAATAACATGAGAACTTAGTTATTTGTGAAGAATCTCTGTACTGAACCTTGCAAGCTTTAGTAAATTTTCTAGTTTCTTAAATTTGTTTTGCTCAGCCATAAATGATTTTATATTTGATGGTAACAGGACATTTTCTCTTCTTCCTTAAAATGTTTTTTAAGAGACTCCTGTGGCTTGAATTTTTAGTTGTGGGGCCCTTTTCTATGGAAATAACATGAAAGTAGTAATGAAAATCATTGATATTTTTCTTTTTCTTTTTTTTTTTTTAAGATTTTTATTTGAGAGAGAAAGGGCATGAGTTTGGGTGGGGGTGGCAGAGGCAGAGGGAGAAGCAGCCTCCCCACTGAGCAGGGAGCCCGACGGGGGGCTTGATCCCAGGACCCTAGAACCCTGGGATCATGTCCTGAACCAAAGGCAGATGGTCGGGGCACCTGGATGGCTCAGTGGGTTAAAGCCTCTGCCTTTGGCTTAGGTCATGATCCCAGGGTGCTGGGATCGAGCCCCATATCTGGCTCTCTGCTCAGTGGGGAGCCTGCTTCCCCCTCTCTCTCTGCCTGCCTCTCTGCCTACTTGTGATCTCTCTATCAAATCAATAAATAAAATCTTTTTTTTTAATTAAAAAAAAAAAAAGGCAGGTGGTCAATTGACTGAGCCACCCAGGTGCCCCTCGTTGGTATTTTTTAGATTCATGTTCAGAAGTCACAAGAGACTTCGTAAACTGTATTTTTGATGCAGTGAGAGTTGCAGCCTAAAAGAAGAGGATTTGAATTTCTGATATCAATACCAGAAACTGATGTCTACTGTGATCACTATTCTGATCAGCCCTTCATCTAGAGTTGCCTATTTTTGCCAGTTTGCTCTTACTATTATAATTATAGCCAGAACATAATGTTCAGTAAATTTTTCTTTTGAGAAGGAAAATCCATGTTCCATTCTCTTTCAAAGGACATGGCCTTTTCTCTCTATGTGCTGCAATGTGTCTTTGGTTTCCCAGGAAGCTCTTCGTGTAGTGAAGATCTTGCAGAACCTTGATCCACCATTTAGTATTGATGGGAAGATGGTAGCTGTAAACTTGGCCACCGGAAAACGAAGGTAAGGCGGAGGAGTGGGGCTCCTTTGTGAGTCCCCTACTCAAGTTCTTGGGAGGCAACTCCTAAAAGGTAGAGATAGTAAGACATGGTACCTTCCAGTGTGGATTTCTTCAGATATGTGTACATGTTTTCTTTTTCTGAAGCTTGGCTTATTCTGACTCTAGTTGTCTTTTGTTTTTGTTTGTTTGTTTTTTCCTTAAATAGCAGTACTAGGTACTTTAGTGCCTTCCCTCTTCGCTGCCTGGTATCTTTGGGTTCCAAATGACACAGTCTTGGATGTGGAGAAAAATCTCGATACATCCTTGCCCCTCGGAATCCTAAAAAAATGCTGTCCTGACTCCTGCACTCCCCTGACCCTGTTCATGCCTCTGGTACCGGGAAATCTGATTCCCCTTCATTCCTGTACTTACCTTGACCCAGGAGTGGTCACTGGGAAGCGGCTGCATGGGAGAGGCAGGCTGGCAGGATGGGGCAGATCGTGCTCTAGCACCTCAGCTCGTTTGCGGTTCTGCTCCGGCAGCAGCTGTGTAGGAGTCTCTGTGCTGCCGGGCCTGCTTGCTCTGGATCCGTTTCTTTCCCTGCAGAATGGGCAAAAGTTAGTTTCTTGGCAAATCCGTAGGGTTAGGCAATTCTCAAATGGTTTTTTGTAGCAGACTCAAGATGTGTTGTGTTATTTGTTGCAGAAATGATTCTGGGGACCATTCTGACCACATGCACTACTATCAGGTAGGCTTCGGGAGCTGGGGAGTGCTCTGTCAAAATCCTCAAATGACTGGAAGAGTCATCTTGAATTTTCTCCAGTGGGTGACTGGTAAGGGCTGTCAGAAGTTCCATAATTTTAACTAGCCTTTCTGTGATAGGGTAAAAAGTATTTCCGAGACAGGAGAGGAGGAGGCAGAAATTCAGACTGGGCTCCAGATACAAATCGACAAGGACAACAGTGTGAGTCACTTGTTTTATTTCTATTGCTCTTTTTGGCTTGACTGCTCATTAATTGAGATCTTTGTGGTCACAGAGTTAGCAAGAAATACCGTTGACTGGGGATGCTTATTCAGAGAGCACCATCTGCACGTTCTGCACCTGTGTGGGTTGTCCGGCCCCGTGCTTGGGTTGTTCTCAGTCCCACAGCAGGGCTCCACTGGACAGGGACTAACGTTGGCTCTGGTTTTATTCCTGCTAGCATCATCTGACTGCTACATATATGATTCTGCTACTGGCTACTATTATGACCCTTTGGCAGGAACTTACTATGACCCAAACACCCAGGTGAGTTTTTGGTTTGTTTACTTTATCAGTGATTCTTTTGAGAAAAGTACCTATAATTTGTTGGTTTGAAGATTTTATTCCCTGGATTTTTGGTTGCTTATTACGTGGAAAGTAGAAAAGTTTAAATCTCATGGAAGTTGAAATACTTCTCCATTTCTGGCAGCTGCTGTTACACTGTCTGTATTTCATGTCTAGCCTGGTGTTTTTTGAAGTCCACATCATATATTGAGTTGTATTTGCTGAGTTGTGTTCATTCAGGATTTACAGATGGTGACCTTTGTGTTAACTGTTGCCTATAGAGAAAATCAGTGCTTTGTGGCATTATAGGTAAGAATAGTGCTGCTCTTGGAAAAATGGACAGTGAGTGGTCTGGATAGGTCCTGGCCCCTGGAGTGGGTTTCAAGATTGTTTGATGCGGTCTCTTCTTAGGTTTGTGAGGGAGAGAGCTGTTCTTTCTTCCAGAAGGGAACTTGTTCCTTAGACCTAGAATTAACTGGGGAAGTGAGTTATTCTGTAGACTTAACAGTTTCTAACTGAATTGCAGCAAGAAGTCTATGTGCCCCAGGACCCTGGATCACCTGAAGAAGAAGAGATCAAGGAAAAGAAGTCCACCAGTCAAGGAAAGTCAAGTAGTAAGAAGGAAGCATCGAAAAGAGATGGCAAGGAGAAAAAAGACCGAGGAGTGACAAGGGTAAGAGGACTTGTGAATCTTCTTTACCAGACAATTACAGATTCAAATAAAGGCTTTATAGAGGAGATCTAGGGTTGAGGTGTGAAGTTACCAAAAAAGCAGACAATCCCCTTGCGTCTTACAGCTGGTGGTAACTCTTTCACAAATGCAAAAACTGTGGATGGCAGAACAAAGTGACTCAGCTAAACCCTAACACCTGGGCTCCACGTAGTTTCACTTTCCTACACCCCCTCTTCAGTGCTTGACTCGTATACACATTTCTGTAGGTGTAATTGTAGCGGAGGTTACCATTCTGTATTCTCCGCTCCGTTTATATTTGCTTTTTTTTTTTTTAATTCTTTTTTTTTTTTTTTTTAAGATTTTATTTATTTATTTGTCAGAGAGAGAGAGGGAGAGAGAGCGAGCACAGGCAGACAGAATGGCAGGCAGAGGCAGAGGGAGAAGCAGGCTCCCTGACGAGCAAGGAGCCCGATGTGGGACTCGATCCCAGGACGCTGGGATCATGACCTGAGCCGAAGGCAGCTGCTTAACCAACTGAGCCACCCAGGCGTCCCTATATTTGCTTTTAAGTAGTTTTTCCATAGTTCTATAATACTTAATTATTTATAATTATTTATAATATTTGGATTCAGCTTTTGCCACTTGCTCTTTTTTTTTTTTTTTTCTTTTTTAAGATTTTATTTACTCCTCAGGATAGAGAGTGCACAGAAGCAGGGGAAACTTCCCAACCGTATTCCCAATCATTTGTAAAATAAGGGTATTAATGCCTATCTGGGAGGGTTGTAGTAAAGGCTGAGGACAATAATGCATATAAATGTCTCATCTGGTGCCTGACATATAGTGATTACTCAGTATATACTGAATGTTATGTTTTCAAAGGCTTTTTATTTTGAAATCATTATAGCAGCATTTCAGATACTTCACAAATTTGGAAAATCTGATTAATTTCAACAGGGCTCTTAGCCCAGCTTTTATGAGTATCATATAAGAATTATGGGTTTAATCAGTTTCAGGAAAATGCCACTGAGGGGACAGCCCCCCCAGAGGATGTCTTTAAGAAGCCCCTGCCTCCCACTGTGAAGAAGGAAGAAAGTCCTCCACCAGTAAGGCTAAGCCAACACCCAGGGCTGGGGCTGGAGCTGGGGATAGGGTTGGTTCTGAATGGGAAGGGAAGTTCAAAGGCTGATGTTTCACTTTGGTGTTGGTCCTTTTGTTCTCTCTACCGAACAAACAAGGACTTTCCTTGAGTATGAGCATGAGATAAATGTTCCTGTCTGCTAATAGGCACCCTGCACCATTCCCATCAGACAAGGGAATGTCTGGCCCTTTTTAAGTTACAATCTTGGTCTTGTTAATCCTTCTAAAAGACCCATTTTCCTGGCCCTGATTTTTCCTGCCTTTTGGTGCTGTGTACGAAGCTCAGGTGTGGAGTACATGTGTGGTCGTTTTTATGGTTTACCTGTCTGGCCAAAGTGAATGATGCTAAAATTAGCCCATTTTTTAGATGCATTAAAGTGATGGTCTCCTCTAATCATGGGGATTCTGATTAAATGTAAATATGTAGCAATAGTGATCATGCTTTATTTTTTATTTCGATTGATCACAAGCCCATGACCATGCATCATTATTTCACAATTCTATAAACTACTCATAAATACTCTTCCCGTGTCCCATTATTAGTTTAATTCATCGTAGCATCAGTCCTGACCATGCCTTTACCTCGCTCAGGAGCTCAGTGTCTACCTGAGAGCTTATTCTTCATTTGCTTTCAGTCCACCTCCTAAATCTCTTTTGCTGTAGGGGTTACTGTAGCCCTTCATAAAGTTTATCTTTCCTTTTCTCCTGGGTTACGGTAACCTGAGGGGTTGCTGCTATCTCTTCCTCTTTGTAACCTGTAACTTCTTAACTCTCCCTGCCTCTATGTCAGTTCTCCTTTCCCTTCTTTCTCTTCACTGTTCTGTTGCTAGAGTCACTTCTGAGGGAATCTTTCTGGTTTTATCTGAGCAATCCAGGAGAAAAGTCAAGCTTGAACATGTTGCTTCCATGGGGGAAATGAGCAGTGTGGTCATTAATCATCATTTTAATCATTAATCATCATTTTAAGCCCAATTCACTATTCAAACTAAAAGAGAAGAAATGAGATACCCATATTGGAATATCCAGAAAACAGGCCCCACAGTATAGGTTGAGGTTGGTATTAATCTCTGGCCTTCTCCTGTCAGCCTAAGGTGGTAAACCCACTCATCGGCCTCCTGGGTGAATATGGAGGAGACAGTGACTATGAGGAAGAAGAAGAGGAGGAGCAGCCGCCTCCTCCACAGCCCCGCACAGCCCAGCCCCCACAGAGGGAGGAGCTGACCAAGAAGGAGAATGAAGAAGATAAACTCACTGACTGGAATAAACTGGCTTGTCTGCTCTGCAGAAGGCAATTTCCCAACAAAGAAGTTCTGATCAAACACCAGCAGCTCTCAGACCTGCATAAGGTATGGGGTAGCGGACCTGACTTTGAAATGTTGGCCTCTTACCATCGTGTATTACAGTCCAGTGAATTGTTCCTCCACCTTTTGTCAGGAGTTGCTTTGCATTAAGGCTGTGCCCACCTTCAGAAACCTTGGTGTGTAGACCCAAGGCAGGCAGCCACGGCTGTGCTGAAGACAGGAAGGGAGGGAGTCATCAAGTAGGAAGCTTGTTTGCTGAGTTTCTCATCATAGCTCTTCCATTAACCTAACAATTGGACTTCAGATAAGCCTCTTCTCTTCTGTCATATTTGGTGGCTTCCTCTGGTTCTGCCTAGTTCTGATACTGTGCAGGTTTCCCAAAGGTGGGTCACATTCTGCCATCTCTTCATGTGGTGAGTCACTACTGTAAGCTGGGGCACAACGTCTGCCGTTGGAGAGTTAACCTGACGCACACTGGCCCTCTCCTGTGTCTTCCTGCTCAGATGTACTGGCCAAAGAGCCAAATTCTGGACAAATAAAACCCCTAGATAGACTCTTGTTCTCAGTATAGGGTGATTTATTTCACACTCCTTCTCTAGCAGATGTTGCTAGAACCGGTGAGGAAATCAGATTTAGACTTTCCTTCAATATAAAGTCCAAAGTCTTTTGTAGATAAAAGCTGAGAAGCTCTGCTTTTGGTAATAGGCCTCCCTCTTCTCCCAGCTGCCTCTGTGGAGGCTCTGCAGAGTTTCTAGGGGTCTGAGAAGTTCCTCACAATCCCTGTAACAGATTACCTCCCAGGTCCCTTTGACCTCGAATTCTGAGTCATGAGACTGACACATTCAAATTTTAGCTCTTTGGGGGCTGCTGGCTGCCCCAGTCGGTAGAGCATGTGACTCTTGATCTTGGGGTTGTGAGTTCAAGCCCCACATTGGGTGTAGAGCTTACTTTAAAAAAAATTAAATTAAAAAAAAAGTTAAAGGATACATAAAATTAAATAATAATAGATTTCAGCTCTCTGATGAAAATGCTAATAAATGGCTGATGTCAGGAAAGAGGAGCCAGAAATCTGGTGAATCCACGAATTGAACTGACTCTGGGACAGTGGAAAGTGGACTGTAGTACTTTTTTCCTTTCCTTGCAGTGATCCAGTGCAAAGAATCCCCATTCATACTGTACTGGACCCCTTAGGTTTCTTCTTACATACGCTGGAGGGTATTGTGTAGTAGAGCCATGCTCGAGAAGTGTGGGACCCTTAAGGAACACAGGACTCTCCAAGCAGTCTTTTTGTTCTTTTAGCACCTTGGGTTCTCCTTTTCATGTTTTTCTGGGGACTTGAAAAATCTGATAGTGTCCAAGGATGGTGAGTGGTGGTAGTGATGGTGGTGGTGGTAGTAGGAAGATCATGTGGGCATTCAGTTTTCTCCACTGATGTTCTCAGATTTCCCTCTCTCATAATTTTTACTTTAGATAAAAACATATAAACCAGTTTTGTGTTTTCCGCATTTTTAAAAAAAGTTTTGTTTATTTGAGAGACAGAGTGCAGGGTGGGGTGTGGAGGCAGGAGGAGCAAAGGGAGAGAATCTCAAGCAGACTCCCTCCTGAGCACAGAGCCTGATTCAGGGCTTGATCTCATGACCATAAAATGACCTGAGCTGAAATCAAGAGTCAGACAGTTAACCGACTGAGCCACCCAGGTGCCCCTGTTTTCTGCATTTGGAGAGAAGTAGAATGAAGGTCTCTCTTGGACCACACCATGTAACTAATCTGTGTGACAAGCCAGCATTACAACTTGGGTTCCTATTGGAGAGCCTTAAGCCAGTCCGGTTAGGAATTGTTGATTACAGGGTACAGTGATCACTCAGGAGAGTTGGTCAGTGAAAGAAGCCACAGTCCCAAAATATCTATTGAGAAAGACCTAGAGGCATTTTCTAGGACCACTTTTTCTAGACCTGTACTCCTAGAACTTTCTCTCTTCTCAGCAAAACCTGGAAATCCATCGGAAGATAAAACAATCTGAGCAGGAGCTAGCCTATCTGGAAAGGAGAGAACAGGAGGTAAGTTTTGATGACCTTTTAACTCCCTTGACCTCAACTCTTTACTCTCTGCTGTGGAATTTGTAGGCTGTACTGAAGACAGAGAATGAAGAGGACCTAAAAGATGGTTTATACATTTATCAAAACCCATCAAACTACATTATAATGGGTGCACTTCATTGTTTATAAAATTATACTTTAATAAAATTGATATATATATATATATATATATATATATATATATATATATATATTTTAAGGATTTTATTTATTTATTTGACAGAGAGAGACCACAAGTAGTTACAGAGGCAGGCAGAGAGAGAGAGGAGGAAGCAGGCTCCCTGCCAAGCAGAGAGCCCGATGCGGGGCTCGATCCCAGGACCCTGAGATCATGACCTGAGCCGAAGGCAGAGGCTTAACCCACTGAACCACCCAGGCGCCCCCGATATATATATTTTAAAAGGGTGGTAGTTTAAGGTCTCCAAACAGGTCAAACAAATAGCATTTTCCTTTCCTGCCCAGCTTTTAAAATCAGTGAAGGTAGGGCTGCTAAAATACCATTTTTTACTATCAGAGGCTAAGTTAGAAGAAGCAGTTTAGTGTAGAGCCAAATGGACTTGTTACCTGGATCACGTAATTAGGCAGACTCCCCTACAAATAGCCACAAGCTTCACTGCCCGGGCCAGATCTTATGTGATGGGTAGGAATCCTCCTGTGGAGGCCTACTGGAGAGCACCTCCTCAGAAGAGGTAAACACAGCTGTAGGACAAGCACACCAGCTCATTCTTCTCAAATTTACCAGTCAGAGAAGCCACTGCTTTCTCAAGAAGAGTATGTGAAGGAGGAAGAGATTCCAGGAGTTAACAGTTGAACCCCCTTCTCTTTAGAAGGACTATAAGGAATAAAGCAAATCTTCCCCACTATTCAGCTCCCTTAAATGGAAATCTCAGGTCTTTTCTTCTGCTTACCAACAGGGAAGGTTTAAAGAAAGAGGAAGTGATCGCAGGGAAAAGGTCCAATCTTTTGACTCTCCAGAAAGGAAACGAATTAAATACTCCAGGGAAACTGACAGGTAAGTCAGGAACTTTTCATTCAGCCTAAGCCTCAAGCCCTAATGGTGAAACCATCTTCTTCTCCAGCTGCACTGCTTTTTTCTCTCTCAGGGATAACTGAAGTCAGCAGGAGCAGGTTCTTTTTGAACTCCTTGAGTATGAGGTTCACTCCAACCTCTGACCACCCAGCTTCACTCAGGGAATATGTGTGTTTGGCTGGCTGCTTAGCTGCACTCCTTCTCTCCTCAGTAATGCTGTACCTCCTATGGACCTGATAATGTCATTCACTCGGGCTTTTTCTTTAGGGAACCTCCGTCCTCACACATAGGTGCTGAATGAATGGTTGGCTGCTGATGGACCTATATGATCTCTAGATTCCTGTGCTTATTTCCAGTCAGTTCAGAGTGGGGGAGCCCAGCAGAGTTAGATAGAATTTGTTGATAACCCATCATGTCTAGGCACTGTGCTAAGTGCAAGGAATACTCAGGTGGACAAGACCTATTAGAATAAGGAAGGTTCAGGTGATGCTGTGTCTCATAGAGCAGACAATTCCAGTGGAGAAGGGAAGGTCATTTCAGTAACTTGGAGCAAACCGCATACGTCATGGATGAGAGAGAGAGAAGTCATATGATGCATTTGAAAAATTGTAAGTAGCCTGATGGAGGCCAGCTCAGGAAGTTCATACTCCTTGAATACCATGCTAAGACTTTGTCTTAGGGCAGCAGGAGGTTATGAAATGATTTTAAGGAGGGTGCTGATCTGATGAGACTTGACCAGGTCTATATGTTGGTAAGCAAAAGAGCAGCTAATAGCCAGGGTAACTTATGCCTGTGGGGATGGGAGAGATCATTGATGGAGAAAGGCCCCAAAGGAGGGTTGATGGGGTCTGGGGCTCTGACATCCCAACTTATTTGCTCACTGCCCACAGTAAGATTATTTTTTAATCATGGCCCAATAATCATGTGTGTGTAAGTACCAAAAAAGAGATCCTCATGAAAAATACTTACTTACTGTATATGATAAGCTCTGGTAATTTTATTCTAGCTTTTTCTATTTGTATTCTTTTTTTTTTTTTTTTAAGGATGAGTGGTTTTTAAATTTTTTTTAAGATTTTATTTATTTTATTATTTATTTGACTGGGAGAAAGAGATCACAAGTAGGCAGAGAGGCAGGCAGAGAGAGGGGGAAGCAGGCTCCCCGCTGAGCAGAGAGACCGATGCGGGGCTCGATCCCAGGACCCCGAGATCATGACCTGAGCCGAAGGCAGAGGCCCAACCCACTGAGCCACCCAGGCGCCCCAGGATGAGTGATTTTTTTTTTAAAAGATTTGTTTAGGGGCGCCTGGATGGCTCAGTGGGTTAAGCCGCTGCCTTCGGCTCAGGTCATGATCTCGGGGTCCTGGGATCGAGCCCCGCATCGGGCTCTCTGCTCAGCGGGGAGCCTGCTTCCTCCTCTCTCTCTGCCTGCCTCTCTGCCTGCTTGTGATCTCTCTCTGTCAGATAAATAAATAAAATCTTAAAAAAAAAAAAAGATTTGTTTATTTTGAGAGAGAGAGAGTGAGAGTGCACACACGTGAGCAGAGGGAGAGGGAGAATCTCAAGCAGACTCCCTGCTGATCATGGAGCTTTATCCCACGACTCCGAGATCATGACTTGAGCCAAACAAGAGCTGGACACTCAACCAATTGAGCCAGGTGCCCTGTTTGCATTCTTTTTTTTTTTTTTTTTTTTAAGATTTTATTTCTTTATTTGACAGAGATCACAAGTAGATAAAGAGGCAGGCAGAGAGAGAGGAAGGAAAGCAGGCTCCCTGCCAAGCAGAGAGCCCGATGAGGGGCTCCATCCCAGGACCCTGGGATCATGACCTGAGCCAAAGGCAGAGGCTTAACCCACTGAGCCACCCAGGTGCATTCTTAAGAAGTGCTAAGGAAGGACCACTTAAACAATGTAACATCCTACTAGGTCATTCTCTACAATTCAAAATATACTGGGCTAAGCCAAAGGTAAAGGAGTCATTAAGGAGGAAGGACACCTTAGCCCTGAGTGAGTTGGGCTGGGCTCAGAAAGATACCCTTCTGTATTCTTGGCACCCTTCACACCACATTCTGCTGGTTCCCTTCCTTATTAGTCTTCTCCCGTGCTTCTCTTAGTTTTCAGGGCAATTCCAGATATTCTCCAGGACTCTGCCCTCAGTGCTCTGTAATTCTTGTTGTTCTACCTCTTGACCTAGACCCAAGGCCACAGTCATCACTAACAAGCTAACAGGTCCCTATGACTCCATTCCAAGGCAGTTTGGTTTTCTGAGCGCAAAATTACGATTTCTGTTTACCTCCTGGGAATGTCCTTGTGGAGACCTCTTAGGCTCCTCACTCTAAGCAATGACTCAGTATTATATTCCATATCATATTCAGGTCCAGTCCTGCTAAACCTGCTGTGTGTTCCTCTTTCAGAGTAGTTACATCACTGCATCATGGCCTGCCTGGTCTGACCCAGTCTTCCTGCTTTATCCCCTTTATCATTACTGGCCACATCCGTAATTAAGCTTTATCCCCCTTTCTAGCTCACCTCCAAATTGGACTCTACTCTCCGTCTCTGTTCTTCAACCTCTAGTGTACTCTCTACCCTGGCACCAAAACCATTTTGTGAACAGAAATCTCCTAAAACTTGCCTTCTTATGAGGGCATACCTTGCTTAGAAGGAGGCCTGGAGTCCAGGGGTTTTTTTGGCCCAAAGGATGAAGTCCAGAATCATGATTCAGCGTGAAGTTTCGAGGCTTTCCAGTCTAGCCCAAGAAGCCTTTGTCAGTTCCTACAATTCCTCTCCTAGACAAATTGTATTCTTTAACTTATTTATGGCCTCCTTTTCTCTCATGCTTTTTAGTCAGTTCGGATGTGCCCTCTTGTTGGAATTCGTCATTTTTGATGATGCTCCTTCAGAGCTTGTGTCTTCTCTGATGTATTTCCATAGGAGATGTCTCCTGATCCCACATCCCTGGCTGAGTTATCCTTTTCATGTCCTTCCCCATGAATAGGGATGGGTCTTGGGCATCTCTGTATCCCTAGGACAAAAGCCTGTTGCATAGATAGCAGGCACTCAGAAGTATTCCCTAATACACTTCAGAGGAAGCAAATGTGAATCAAGACAACAGAGGTTTTTATTAGGGTCACTTTGAAAGTGATGATATGTAAGTACATCTGCTCCTTTCGCAGTGATCGCAAACCTGTTGGTAAAGAAGGAATCGACAGTAGCAACAAAGGAGGCTGTGTCCAGCAGACCGCTGGCTGGAGGAAGGGGGCGGGCCTCGGGTATGGCCATCCTGGATTGGCTTCAGCAGAGGAGGTGAAATGGTTTCCGTCTTTTGGGGGTGGCGTGAACCTGGAATGTACTTAACGTTCTCTCTTTTAGTCAGTCTTGATTACTGGATAATAGATGGGCATTCTGGGCCCTTGTAATTTTGGTTGGCTGTGGGAAAAGGAGAAAAGTGGAAATGGGGCTCATCTTACTCTTTTTTTTTAAATATTTTATTTATTTATTTGACAGAGAGAGATCACAAGTAGACAGAGAGGCAGGCAGAGAGAGAGAGAGAGAGAGGGAAGCAGACTCCCCGCTGAGCAGAGAGCCCGATGCGGGACTCGATCCCAGGACCCTGAGATCATGACCTGAGCTGAAGGCAGTGGCCCAACCCACTGAGCCACCCAGGCGACCCTCATCTTACTCTTAAACGGAGTAAAAGGTGGGGTATTACAGGAATCAGGCAATTTGAAACTGGCAAATCATTTGGTGACAAGAACCAGGGAACCTGCAGTAAAAGGAACAAAAGCATCTGAGAGGCATCGTCATCAGAGGAACTGAAATAACTAAAATATGAGGAGGGCAGGGTTAGTCCTGGTTCTCATGAAGGGCTCTGCCTCACTTAGTTCAGGAAGAGAAGAGAGCAAAGGTTTTGAGAGGGAATGTTGCCCATTTTGTGTTGGCTTGGTCCCCCTCTGAACATGCCAACTGGAGGAGACTGGCTTCTCAAGTCTGGTATTAAATCCCATATCCTGAAGTCATGGCATCACCACCCTCCTTATTCATCTTGGGTTTTGTTTATTAATTAAACATTCTAAAAAATTCCCCCAAATCCTGATCCTTACTGGTCCAGAAATACTTGTAATCAAAGGCCAGCCCTGAGGCTTATTAATTGGTAGAGCCCACTTCATTGTTTGTCTTTGTGTTACAGACTGAAGGCCGGATAAGGGGGCCCAGTGTGGGGGCTCCAGGAAGAACCAGCAAGAGACAGTCCAACGAGACTTACCGAGATGCTGTGCGAAGAGTCATGTTTGCTCGGTATAAAGAACTAGATTAAAGAATGGAGACAAGTCCCTACAGAACACAATCTCCTTCTTGTTTTGTTTGTCCGTCTCTCCTTTTGTTTTGTTACTGTTCTTGCTGCTAGAACTTTTTTAAATAAACTTTTTTTCAATGTGATTTTTTTTGGTGGTTATATTTTTCTCCCACAGGTGGGTAAGGGTGGGGCTTATGGTAGGAGGGAGAGAGCGCCTTGGTGCAGCCCATTTGAGGTGGCACTGAAATGGCAGCAAGTGCTACCATGAGCCCTGAGACACCACCTGCTGTCAGTATGAGTGGATGTGTTGTGGTGACCTTTGAACTCTAGCTTGTGTGAGTACTGTCAGATTTTAAAAATTATTTTCCTGATCTAATTAATGAAAACTGCATCCCATTATTGCTTGCTTCTATTTCTTTGATAACTGCTGAAAGTGAACATATTTCCGTATGTTGGTTTACTACTGAAGTCGTCTTCTGACTTCCCCATTGTTGGTGGGGGTGGGGGGAGCAGTGTGATAGCTCTTTTTCTAGGTGCCTGCTGGGCGCTTAATGTGTCACATGTTACGATCACCACAATGAGTTGGCATAGTAAGAATTATTACTCCCCTCCAGCCACTACCCCAGGTTTTCCTTCCCTCCTTGGCTGAAATTCTCCAGAGAGGTGTCTTTGGACACCCTCTTTCAAATCTTTCTTAATTTTTTACCATATTACTCATACCATTTCACAGGATTTGCTTTAAAAGAGAGGGTTGTTTTTAATTTTTTTTTTCTTATTCTTTGAAGTTAAAAGGACAATATCCTATGAACCTATTAAAACTTTAAAAAGTAGGGTGCCTGGGTGGCTCAATCAGTTAAGCAGCCAGCTCTTGGTTTCAGCTCAGGTCACGATCCCAGGGTCCCAAGGTCAAGCCCTGCATCAGGCTCTGCGATTGATGGATAGATAGTCTGCTTGGGGATTCTCTCTTTCCCTGTCCCCAGCTTGCACTCGCTCACTCCCTTGCTCTCAAATAAATCTTTAAAACATAAAAAATAATTCCTCCAGATAACATATTATAGTACTAAGAATTGCACTTTTCAGATGTCTCCGGAGGAATGTATTTTAGGAAGAGAACTGCGGGTTTAGAAGAGTATGTTGATTGTATAAGGTGGGAGTTTGTAAACTTACCCAACAAGGTGGGACACCTGGGTGGCTCAGTTGGTTAAGTGTCTGCTTTCCCAGGGTCCTGGGATCAAGCCCCTTGTTGGTCTCCCTGCTCAATGGGGAGCCTGCTTGTCCCTCTCCCACTCCCCCTGCTTGTGCTCTCTCTCTCTCTGTCAAATAAATAAACCTAAAATCTTTTTAAAATATTAAAAAATAAAAAACTTACCCATCAAGGGCCAGAGTCAATATTTTATACTTCACAGGTCAAATGATCTCTGTTGAAACTATTCAGCTCTGTTATTGTAGTGAGAGCACAGCCACATTCATAGACAGTAGCAGCAATACATAGACAAGTGATTGTGGCTGAATTCGAATAAAACTTTATTTACAAAAACAGGTTGCAGGCCAGAATTGGCCCATAGGTCTAAGGGTGTAATCTGGTTGCATAAAGCAGAACCAAGGACAGCTCTGTAAAAATAATATGGAGGTATTACCATTTGAGGGGGATGGGCAGTGAGGGGTGAGAGTGTAAGGAGAGGTAGGTATGTACCAAGAAGAAAACTTTTCTAGAAACAGGAATGATATATGTGAAGTTAAATTGTTTGCCATGCTGTCTCCAAATATAATCTGTTTTTCTTTATTAAGTCTTTACCCCTCCCAAAGGGAAAACAAAATCAGGAGCACACTGGCTTAGGGATTAAGAGCCCCAGGTTCAGGGCACCTGGGTGGCTCAGTGTGGTAAGCCTCTGCCTTCAGCTCAGGTCATGATCTCAGGCTCCTCTGCTCAGCGGGGAACCTGCTTCCTCCTTTCTCTCTGCCTGTCTCTCTGCCTACTTGTGATCTCTCTTAAAAAAAAAAAAAAAAGCCCCAGGTTCTGGGCCTTGCTACCACTAGTGCAGCCTTACAGAGGATGGGTCATTGGACTCTGGGCTGCAGACAGATGCAGTGCAGTAGCCCTCTGGTCTGAAGGCCTGCAGGTACCTGTGGTGCATCTCATTTTTTTTTTTTTAAAGATTTTTATTTATTTATTTGACACAGAGAGAAATCACAAGTAGGCAGAGAGGCAGGCAGAGAGGGGAGGGAAGCAGGCTCGCCGCTGAGCAGAGAGCCCGATGCTGGGCTCGATCCCAGGACCCTGAGATCATGACCTGAGCGGAAGGCAGAGGCTTAACCCACTGAGCCACCCAGGCACCCCGTGCATCTCATTTTTGAGTACATCAATGAGCACATCAATATACTTCTTGAAAGCTGATCCACGTTTGTCCTTAACTGGCCAAACCAGGTTTTCCTTCTAACTTTGTATTACCCGTTTGGGCCTAAACTGTGGAACACTTCAAATGCTCCACTACTGAAGACTCTTTTATGGGCTAGTTAGTTAACTCCAGTTCATTGGCTCCCCAGCAGAAGCACCACTGAGTTCCCTAGTGGTCATTCTATGAATGTTTTGAGAGCCCACTCTACTTGTCACTGGGGCTTCTAGCAAGATCAGTGTTGGTCTCTGTGCCCATAGGACTTAGTCACTGAGGAAGATGGATGTTGAACAATTGCTGATGTGATGAGAGACAGTACAGCAAGCTTTTGGCAGCATCTTCTCTGAAGAAAGTAAGCTCAGACCCCAAACTAGTTTACCTAGTTTTGTTTTCCAGCTTTATTTTGCCACTTAAATGGAAATTTTGTGGTTGAAAATATGGACTTAAATGCTCCATATATTTTTAAGGAACTACTTTGGGTATTGATGAAAGTAGGAATGGATGTGAAAAATGTGTCACCCTACCATGTCCCTGGGCAGTTCCCTGAGGCTTTGATCAGAATGCCAGCTACATCAGGACAGAGATCTTGGGTAATTTTTTTTACTACTATATCCTTAGGGGCTAACACAATAGGTACCCTATAAATGAGTGAATAATGCCTTGTTCATAGGTCTATATAAAATACTTGCTGAATTAAATTTTGATTGCATATCTCTGCCAATTCATCAAAACTCAGCTCTGACAAATTAGTTTCTTGGTATAGGCGAGAGTTCTCTCATGTAAGTCTTCTTATTTTGGAGTAGTATTTTCACGGTCTGAGATCAAAACATATGAAGTACTTTTTTCTTTTGCTAAGTGGTGGGAAATTAAGGCAAAAAAGATCATTTCAGGGGCATCTGGGTGGCTTAGTGGGTTAAGCCTCTGCCTTTGGCTCAGGTCATGATCTCGGTCTTGGGATCGAGCCCAGCATCGGGCTCTCTGCTCAGCACGGAGCCTGCTTCCCCCTCTCTCTCTGCCTGCCTCTCTGCCTACTTGTGATCTCCCTCTCTCTGTCAAATAAATAAATAAAATCTTTAAAAAAAAAAAAGCATTTCATTAAGAGAACTTTTTTTTAACCTCAGAACATTAGGAAAAGCAGTCTTAAAGAACTTTGCCTAATATTGAACATACATGGCTTTACTCAAAACAAAAAAACAGGGTGCCTGGCTGGCTCAGTAGGTGGAGCATGCAACTTTTGATCTCAGGTTTATGGGTCTGAGCCACATGTTGAATGTGGAGATTACTTCAGAATAAATATTTTTTAAGTACTTACTTTTAAAGATTTTATTTATTTGACAGATAGCACAAGTAAGCAGAGCATCAGGGAGATGAAGAAGCAGGCTCCCTGCTGAGCAGGGAGCCCAATGTGAGGCTTGATCCCAGGACCCCGGGACCGTGACCTGAGCCAAAGGCAGTTGCCTAACTGACTGAGCCACCCAGGCACCCCTATTTATTTGAGTGAGAATGAGTGAGTGAGAGCAAGCAGGGGGAGGGAGAGGGACAAGCAGACTCTGCCCTGAGTGTGGAGCCTGATGTGGGGTTTGATCCCACAACCCCAAGATCATGACCTGAGCCAAAATTGAGAGTTGGACACCTGACTGAGCCATCCCGGCACCCCAAGAAAATACACTTGGGAGCCTTCTGTTGGTCGCATACTTCTAGTTTTTTCTGATGATGTAAGTTTTACATACATCTCCTCCCCAGAAGTTGGACACTGTATATAAATACATATACACATATGAAAATGTAGAAGTGTGTATGTGTGTGTGTGTAGGTAGTGCTATGATCTGAATGTGTCCTCTCCCCTCTAAGTTCATACATTGAAATCCTTAACTCTCAAAGGTAATGGTATTAGTAGGACTTTGGGAAATCATCAAGCTCATGAAAATGGAATCATCATAAATGGGATCAGTGTTCTTTTAAAAGAGATCCTACAGAGGTCCCTAGACTCTTCTACATGTGAGGATATAAATCAGCAGCCCGGAAGAGGGCCTTCACTTGACCATGCTGGTACCTTGATCTTGGACTTCCCAGCCTCCAGAACTGTGAGAAATAAATTTTTTGTTGTCTATAAGCTTTGTTGTTTGTTGTTGGTTATAAGCTACCCAGTCTGTGGTATTTTTTTTTTTTAAAGATTTTATTTATTTATTTGACAGAGAGAGATCACAAGCAGGCAGAGAGGCAGGCAGAGAGAGAGGAGGAAGCAGGCCCCCGCTGAGCAGAGAGCCCGATGCGGGGCT